TTCCCCCCCCTCCCCCCGGGGGGGGGGTAAACGGCCATAAACGGTTGGTAACCGGTGCAAGCCCCCCCAAGAGGTTCCGGGCCGAGAAGGGCGGCCCCGAGCCCCGGAAAGGGCCCCGCCCTTCGGACCTTGGCTTTACCATGGTAAGCGGATTCGGGAAGAGAAAAATTATGGACCGGGGACACGCTGGGGTTTCAGGAGTTCCCCCCCCTCGGAGGCAGTTGGGGTGACTCCCCATGAACAAAACAAATAGGGTTAGGGAGGAGAAAGTGTCCCCCACATATCACCACAGACGCAGCACAGGGGCTCCAATCCTGTCCCAGCCTGGGGGCCTCGGCTAGATCTCCAGTGGGGAGTGCGAGGGCTGGATCGACTGCAGCGAGAGTGTGGGTTGTGGACCGTCCCAGGGATAGCGTGTGGCATAGATGTTCCCCTGGAAGTAGAGAGGCTGATGTCTCTCGCCCTGCACAGGAAGGAGAAACTCGGACGGCAGAGTGAAAACTCCTCCCTGCGGCATGTGCGCAGAACGGGTTGCGCAACGTGCGGCATCGTGTTGAGGGCTCGGGAGGGCAACGACGGCAGCGTTGCCGAGCTTGTACAGGGGCCTCAATCCTGTCCCCGATGGGGTGCGCCTCTCGCCGCGCGCGTAGCAGTCGGCGCGCGGGTAGCCTCAGAGATGCGCAGAGCGAGATGCGGGTATCAGCAAACCAAGCCCTGGGCTTGGATGGGCGCGGCGAAGCCGCGGCGCAGTGGATAGCGTGAAGAACTCGAGATCGCTGGGATCTTGAGCCGCCGCTGCCACGTGCAAGCCCCACCCGACTGACGGGCAGGCGTGGGGCGCGTCGCCCGCTTGCTCTAGACGAAACGTCTAAAGGACGAAGATGCACGGAGTGCGACCAACTCTGCACGACGGGCGGAGAGGACGGGCACTAGACCAGGAAGGACTGGGAGAGTGTGAATGGAGGGAGGGACACGCTGGACCGGGACACGCGGTGGTTCGGACAGTAACATCCGGTTACGGACGTAACGGATGGTCGTCTGGTCGAACGCTCCCGGATCGAGCTGACCGCGGCGCCAGCAGACCTTAAAGCTTAATGTTCAGGAAAGGGACTTCTCAGGCTCATACATGTAGAGTAGGTCGTCACTGTCATAGATGGGCCAGATAGTGCCAGGATGCGTCCCGCTCGCCCACAAAACGTGCCGAAAGCGTTGCCGGTGTGGTTGGTGCAGACCAGCAGCATGACCATACATACCCCTGGAGAGGGCCGCCAGCAGCAGCCTGACCATACCCCCCCACCCCTCGAGGAGGCCGCCTCCGGCGGCCAGGACCATACCCCCCCACCCTTTTGGCCGTGACCCTACCATACCTTACCAGCCAAAAATGTCGAACCCTGGGCTTTCTTCCTTGATAAAAAGAATTATTCACGGGTTGTCGCTGCTCGCCGGCTTGCGAGAGATGAGGTTGCCACCGCCGCGACTCCCGGCGCTACCCGCTTCGCTCGCCTGCGCCGCCGTTCTGGCCTGCACGCCGCTGAGTATGGCGCCGGCTTATGCAGACATCAACGACGGGCAGCGCATTGTGGGCGAGATGTCGGGCAGCGGCTTCTTTCTGAAGGACACGCTGCGCATCGAGTCCTTCAATGACCCAAAGGTAGACGGCGTTCAGCTCTACCTCTCCGACTTCCAAAAGCCGCTGACCGAAAAGATCGTGGCTGGCGACGTGTTCACCGACCCTACTCTTGCGGGCCTGACGTGCAGCGCCCGCGGAAGGGTGGTCGTGGGGCCTGAGGCCGTCACCACCGTCGAAGGCGAGGAGGTGTTCTCCGAGGCGCGATCCCTGCTCTTCAAGTCGCTCAAGGTACGGCGGATCATCGATCGCGAGGGCAAGAGCGTCGTCTATGTGCTGTACTCGCAGAAGCTGGACAAGAGCAACGACCAAGACGGGAGTCGGTTC